CGCCCCAAAATGAGTATTTTTAAATCGCAAGCATGACTCTTGAATTTACAGCAGAATTCCAAATGCAGCCCGTATCCACATGGACTCAGCTATCTTACGGACAACCTTCGACCTCAGAACAGAATAATTAAATCCTCTGCAACACTACCTGCCTTGATCCTGTTCCCCAACGCCGCATTTATAAAGTGTTTGATGTGAAAAGCATGTCCAAGTTTAACAAGACCTGGTACCGCTAGAAATATTCTATGGAAGTCAAGACTTCCTGTTCTGAATATGGGCTGTAGCGTCTACAAGAAAATGAAATCAGGAGAAAATAGTTGGGAACCATTTGCGGAGCCCAGCTCAAAATTCAGAAAGCACGAATGGAAGCTAAAATTTGGAAAGGGCAGTTCCCTAATGACCCTCTGTCCCCTGTGCCTGGGACTCTGACCATCTTCTGGCAAAGACAGCACAGTTGTCTGAGCACAGGGAGTGACATCTCAGAGATGGGACACTTGCTGAGGTTGGTTTGTTTATTTTTTTTTGTTTTGTTTTTACTATTATGAACAATGCTGCTCTAAGCATTTGTGTCTTTTTATTTTTTAATGTTTATTTTTGAGAGAGAGAGGCAGAGTGTGAGTAGGGGGAGGGGCAGAGAGAGAGGGAGACAGAATCCAAAGCAGGTTCCAGGCTCTGAGCTGTCAGCACAGAGCCCAATGTGGGGCTTGATTCCATGAACTGTGAGATCATGACCTGAGTAGAAGTCGGATGCTTAACTAACTGAGCCACTCAGGCACCCGATTTTTTTTTTTTTAACATTTTTAAAAATTTTATTTTAGACAGAGAGCACATGGGGGAGAAGGGTGGAGAGAGAAAGAGAGAGAGGGAGGGAGGGAGGGAATTTTTTAAAACTATTTTTTAAAGTTTATTTATTTTGAGAGAGACAGAGACAGAGTGAGCAGGGGAGGGACAGAGAGAGAGGGAGAGAGAGAGAGAGAGAGAGAGAGAGAGAGAGAGAGAGAGAATCTTAAACACGCTTTACACTCAAGACCAGATGTGGGGCTTGATCGCACGACCCTGGATCACAACCTAAACTGCAATCAAGAGTTGGAACCAGGCGCCCCCCTTTTTAAGTTTATTTATTTATTTTGAGAGAGGGAGAGAGAGAGCACACGAGTAGGGGAGGGGCAGAGAGAAGGAGAGAGAGAACCCCAAGCAGGCTCTGTGCTGTCAGTGCAGAGCCTGATGCAGAACTCAATCCCAAGAACCGTGAGATCATGACCTGAGCCAAAATCAAGAGTCTTAACCCACTGAGTCACCTGGGTGCCCCTGCCAAGGCATTGGACATTATTCTATCCGACATCATTGTTGACTCTGTTCAATCTTAATCTTGCCGTGTGGGTGTAGAGTGAAAGAGACACCTCTCTCAAGAAATGGGGCTCTAGTGGGAACCATCCATGATTGACATTAATTAGCCCCATTTCTCCACATCCACAGAGGAGAGAACTCACGCGTCCCTTCACTCTCTCCCCTTCACTTATCCCCACAAATGAGGGTGACCTGTCCAGCAGCTGATCTGGAGTAGTGACTACAATGCCTGACCCTGTCACTTTAGCATGGACTCTTCCAGAGCTGCATCCCTGCATGCCTGAGAGAGATCGGCATTCTCCTCTCTTCTCCAGCGACCTTGGGACATGCCCTGCTGGTTTTTTGAGAACAGCCTCCCCCAGGTGCTCTGCCCATAGGTGGCTGGGCCAGAGCAATGGAGTGTTAAAGGTGGAAGGCACACTCTGACCTTGAACCCTGGCATCACTCTGCACCATAGCTCTCCCAGCACACCTGTGTAGCCTTGTGTGGGCCACTCACCTGTGCACACCCAGGTATCTCCATTGGCAAAAAGCGTTCCATAACCGTATCTACTCCATGCGGTCACCAGGCCCTGGTGTTCCCATCGGTAACATGGGATTCATGGCATTGCTGTGATGTGAAACTGAGGAGAATGCCTGGCCTTTACAAGCCCTGCACACATGTCTGCAGTTGTCATTATCTTAAATAATATGTTTGCTTCCCTTTCTGGTGCCTGAGACTATTTATCAATGAATCTAGAACACAGAGGGGAAGGGACACTGTTACTTAAGCCCCTCACACACCCAAGTCAAAGGGCATGTCAGCCATACCGGCGAAGGAGATGGTCAGTAAGGAAAGAATACAACACACACAGAGGAAGGGTCCAGAGTACAAGAAGTCAGCACTGAGGGGTGACAGTTGGAACACTCGTGGTCTGCAAAGCCCCAACTATTTACTATCTGGCCCTTTGCAGAAAAAGTCTGCTGACTCCCTGCTCTAAAATAAGCAATACCCTGTAGGCCCCTGTGCTCCTCATAAGACCTCACTCCCTGTCCACCTGCCCAGGTGTGCTCTCCTCCAAGGCCAGGGGTCTAACAGCTGCCTCCTCTCTGAACCCTGGGCTGCACTGCTGTCCCTTCTGTACCCGACACAGTGTCTGCGTGACCTCTACTAGGTCACAGTAATGTCTCCTGGCTGCAAAATAAATGGATAAATGAATGTAACACATTGGACAACTACTTCAGATCTTCATTCAAGTGGAACTTTCCGCCAGCTAATAGCACTGTTATTAATGATCTCATTCCAGATAGCGTTTCAATAGAAATTTAAAAGAACTACAATATGTCAACTCATCCTTAAGCAGGAAGTCTGGTCACTCTTGGCGCATGGATTGCCAGCATTGTGTGGGCTGATCACGCTGATACAGGTGTGCATAAATGGTGCGCACTTCGGGTACAAACGAGAAAGGCATGGTTGGGGCTTCTAGAAACTTCCTCAGCCCGTCTACACTCAGTTACTGTGTCAATAGACCTGGTCCCTGAGAAGAATACTACATAGATTCCCAGCTCTACTCACGGATGACTGTAGCATACACAAATAAAACAGAATTTCATGGTTTCCCTTTCTCAACTTTATCCGCAACCCATGGATGGACTTAAAAGTTAGTAGGTGGTAATCAGACATAAGTCAAAAATGGGACGAATCCATGACAGCAACAAAACAATAAATCACCCTGAACATATTTCAAAGCATTCACAGGTCAATGGGAGAAAAACACTAACCCAGCCACAGAAGATCCTAACAAGGTCTGTCTTCCATTTGTGACCTAAAAGACAAGCGCCCGGAATAGAAGCAGATTGCCAAGACATCCTTAATTCACTTTTTCATTTTGATCATAAAAATCTGGTACTCAGTTACAAACAATCTTACTGCATCTGGAAGCCATCCATTAAATGATTATATAAAGCACAGATATACCTGTCAGTTTTCCTCCTGTAAAATGCGCCCTGGTCATCCTCGGAGGCTTAATTCATCACTGTTTTCCTTAAATCCAAGTGATTACAAGTTGTGGTAGCTCATCTCCAAAGATGAACCCAGTTCAACCACTTCCCCAACATTCACGGCCTTGTGTAGTCTTTTCCCCATGAATCTGGGCTGGCCTATAATTCATTCTATCCAAAACAATGTTTTGGAAGTGATGTGACAAATCTCTGCCTAAACCTTAGGCCTCTCTCTCTCTCCCTGCCCCTCCTCTTCTCAAAATAAATACATAAATAATCATTTTTTTTAAAAAAAAAGAGAAAACAGGTCTAATGATGTAATTGAATCTTCTTCAAGACTATGTATTTAGAAACTATTTGCTTACATTCCACATAGAGAAAACGTGTTTGATCGTGTGTCACTAATGCACATGTGTGTTGTGTTTGCACTACTGTAATCATGTGTTACATATGCTATAAATAAATATTAACATGAAATCTACAAAGAGGGATGTCAACAGAAATTCTCATACTTTCCTGGGTCACCTGTGTGGCTCAGTCGGTTAAGCATCTGACTTCGGCTCAGGTCATGATCTTGCAGTTCGTGGGTTCAAGCCCCATGTCAGGCTCTATGCTGACAGCTCAGAGCCTGGAGCCTGCTTCGGATTCTGTGTCTCCCTCTCTCTGCCCCTCCACCTCTCTCTCTCTCTCTCTCACATACACACACACAAAATAAAATAAAATAAAATAAAATAAAGAAGGTCTCATGTTTTTTATAACATTCTAAAGCATTTGAAAAGTAAACTTCAGACTGTCAACGGTAATTATTTCCAGTGGATTTTTGTTTGTTTGTTCTTGGTTTTCTTCTTGCTTGTTTGTTTTTTGGCTAAATGTGTTTTTCCCCCAGATTTCCAAATTAATAATATACTATGTAAATAATTAATGTTTAATCTTAAATATTATTAGGGTTTTTAATTTATCATAAACCCTAATAAATTATATTTGGATTGAGAGTGAGCAAGACGAGTGCTCCCATTTTCCCCGATCATCTTTCTCGGTCAATAAATATGTCCCTTGGTGACCAGGATAATGGAAACAGAGGACAACTCTGCCCTCCCACCTTTTACATGCTAGCCAACACCTGCCAAACCCCTTTCTTCTTCCATGACTCCCTGCTTGGAGCTTTAGAAAACATTGAGAATTAAAGAGAGTGCCAGCAAAGGATCACCCCATCTCACGGCCTTCTTACCACATAAGCCACCCCACCCATGGACCTCTCCACTACCTCAACCTCTCTACCATATAGACCTCCCCACCATATAGACCTCCCCACCCCATGAACCTCCCCTCTCCATGGACTTCTCCCATCATATGGACCTCCCCACCCCATAGACCTCTCTATTGCATGGACAACCTCTACTATATGGACCTCCCCAATCATGGATAACCCCCACCCCATGAGCCTCCCCACCTATGGATCACCTCCGTCCCATGGGCCTCTCCACCCCATGGACCTCTCTGCTCCATGAACAATCCCCACCATACGGACCTCCTCAGTCATGGGTCACCCCACCCACAGACCACCCTACTGCACGGCCTTTTAAAGTTTCAATCCAAGTAGAATCCGTGTTTTCTTAACTCTTCACAAGTTTTGCCTTCCCCTTAATGTTCTAAATGCCAACACTGAAAGGCTAATTTCTTGGACAAAGAAGTGGTCCAATTTATTACACTTCATGTTGTGAACAGTACCACATGGAAAGTTCTTTCACAGAAACCTACTTAGGAAAATAAGGTTGGGGCTGAGTGGAGAGAGATTTCTCTCATGAGGCAGCAGACAGACACTATAAAAGGGCTCCTGGGATGTGGGATTTGTGGTGAAACTTGATGAGTCCATGCTTGCTCTGCATTGGCATCCCCATGGTCTGAGGCCACAGGACCCTGGGAGCCGAAGCGTCAGGGAGAAGTGAGAAGGCACGAAGGTTCAAAATTATCTTATTCCATCCGGACCCAAAATACAACTGCGGAACACTGGGACTACAGATGGCGGTTTCCCGTCCTGTCCAGATTCCTCAGCAAGTGCAGTTCACCCGACCCAAGATTTACATTTCCCATCTCATACTTAAGGCAGAAAATTCTATTATCTTCACTTGAAATATAGAAAATCTATGGTGATGATAAATTATAGAACTAGCCTCATTCATACGATAATGACTTAATTTTGATTCAGCCTTCACTGTCTACTCTCTATGTGAAATATGGCCTACGACTGCAGGAATGGAGAGACTCAGAAGACGCACTCACAGACACACACACAGATGCACACTCACTCACAGAGGCACAGTCTCACAGCCTCGCACTCAGACTCATGTACACTCGCAGACACGCACATAGATGCACACTCACAGACACTTGCAAATGCACACTCACAGACACACTCACAGGTGCACATCCACTCGCTAGAGTCGCCTGCACCTTGCTGGAGGCTGTGAGGCTGTGAGGGGAGGAGAGTGGGCTCAGGGGCTGACCACCTGGGGCTGCTGCATCCTGGCTCGCCTACTTACTAGCTCTGCCACTGAGCTGGAGCAAACTTCCTGAGCTCCCTGGGCCTTGGTTTTCTCATCTGTCAAGTGGGGCAACCGTTGTAGGAGGAAAGCTGCTCGAGAAGCCCAGCCCACAGAGCCGGCCCAAGCACACCTGGGTGCCATTACCTGTGACAGACGCTGAGACAAGACTCTGGAAACCCCTCCGCAGGGCACACACTCAGTGACTGTCATGGGAAGTCAACCTCAAGACCTGGAGGAAAGCGTCCAGGGGCCCGGGACTGAGACAGCCAGGCCGCCCCCTCACTGAGGCCCGGCATCGCTGTGAGCCATTCTCCCGTCTCCCCTTCCTCAAACAGCAAAGCCCACCGACGGAGACCGAGGGGCCTTCCTCACAGGGACCAGTTCACACCCTTCTTCATCACGGGCCTCAGCAGCGCAGGGCGGAAGGGACGGGCCCCGTGACGTTGGGACTGCCGGCCTCCAGAGCTGCGACAGAATACATTTCTGTTGTTTGAAGTCATCCCATCTGCAGTACTTTGTTATGGCAACCTCAGGAAACGCTCCAGAGGACATGATGTGCTCCCCAGTAGGGCCCATTTGGGGCAAGAGCGTTGCGGCCTACCCTAAAAGCCCGCGAGGGCCGCTATGTTTATGAAATAACATCACCGTGTGAGCAGTCCCTGAGAAACGACGGTCACCGCAGCTGCCTCTGTTACTGAAGGTGGGGGGGAGCCACGGGGCCGGGTGCCTGCCCTGGTGCGTGGGCGGAGCGCGCTCAGAGCCAGCAGTTCCCCCCCAAACCCAGCCTCCCCATCCCACCCCCCCCCCCAGTGTGGCAGGGAGGGCAGAGGTGCTTGTCAGTGGGAGCCACAGTTGGGCAGTCAGACCACGCTTCCAAGGACTCCCGAACAGCGACCTCAGCTTGGCGCATACGTTAATGTGCCATCGATCATCCATTCTCCCGTCTCCAACGCGCTCCCCTCTCCTCTCCTCTGTCGCAAAACCCCGTGGCTCTCACACCCAGCCATCACCCTCTCTCCTAGGGTGCGTTCTATTACGTTTTCAGCCTGGGTTACTGTTTTCCAGCCTGGCAACGGCAGTGCCCACACATCCCATCGAACAGATGCACGTAAAACCCCAAGCTGGGCAGGGACGTCATTACCCTTCCAGAGGAGCCCCACGAGGGCCCCAAACTTCCTCGCTCATTGCTGGCTGTGAATCTCTGCCAACCTACAACAGCTGGAACACCTCGCCAGGTCTCCATATGGATTTTGTGTTAACCGTCTCCTCTCCCGGCCGGGTCCAGCTCCGCCTGCCCGAGCCCACAGCTGAACCTGCAGCCTTCCTGAAGATAATGGCTTTTCTCTGCCCAAGCTGGTTCTGAGATTCAGGCGTGTTGAATCCAATTGCTTATTTCAGGGATAGAAGAAGCATGCCATCCAAACCTTCAGCGGGGCCTGGATTCGGTACACCCTTTCCAGGGGCAGTGTTCCCGAAACACAGCTATTAATTAGGTAGCCCATCTGTAGAAGCCACAAGGGGATAATAATTAAATCGCTGGCAGGAGATTCCAATGAAATAATGCAGATGTTAAAGAAGAAATGAAGAAGCAAACAAGGTTAATGGTTCTGTGGAACTAGGCTCTAGAAGGATTGTGTTATGGTGTTGTAGCCACCTCAGTGCCATAGGAGCCTGGAGCCATAGCCTTACTACTGCCTCTCGACCCTTGCAGGACTTGGTTTTTCCATCCGTATGATGGACACACTCATGCTAACCATCTCAGACCCCAGTTGGGCTAAGAAAGTTGCTTGGACAATAATTGTAAAAAGTTTAGAAAACCAGAATGCTCTGATATAGGAATCACAATAATCTATTAAATATTTTCAAATCACCAAAGATAAACCTAACTCTTGCTCTTAATTAAAATCCCATTGGCAGGAGGGCTGGACCCATAAAAATAGGGGGCATTGGCAGGAAGAAGGGTGCTCAGTGGCTCTACCCCTACCCCACCATCAACATTAACTCATGCATATAACTGAAGTGTTGGTTCACAGCCGGCCATTATTTTACCCCAGGGGACATTGGACAATATCTGGAGACACTTCATTGCCATTTGCTTTGGGAGAGGCGGCTGCCAGTAGTACGTTCTGGTGGAGGCCAGGGAGGCCGCTACACTTTGTGCGACACACAGGACAGTCCCACAGCACAGAGTGACCCGCTCAAAATGGCAATAGTGCTGTGGGGGAGAAACGGACTAGAGTTACCTTATGTCTCTCTAGCCTTCTGTCCTCAAGGAGCCTGCTCGCTTCTTGGCTTGAGGCCATGCTCCTGAGCTGGACCAAGAGAAACAATGGACCCGCCCAGTACCAGAGAGACGCCACCCCGTCAGCCTTTTAGCTTAAAAGACCCCCACATTCATGCGCCATCAGCTGTAAACTGCAGAGACATTTCTTGGGAAATACCAAAGAAGGAGGGGAGCAGAATGGAATACTCTTACCAGACCTAACTGTCTTACATCCTGGACCTGTGTTCTACCAAGTGATACCTGCTCTACATGTGTGGTCATACAGTTGCGGGGGAGCAGGGGATTGAAGACAGGAGCTTCTGTGACCCGAACAAGATGGTAGCCAAGACAGGATGGGGAATTTCGTACACGACTTGGAGCGTTCTTCACCCAATCTTCATTTATTAAGCACCAACTATGCATGACCTATGTTCCATGGAATAACCAGACATGGTGTTCCCCTCTCAGGAACTTACAGTCTAGTGGGGAGAGATCATAGATCGTTCATGCACAGTAAGAGCTAAGAGAAGCCAAGCTTGGTGAGGGGCCCAAGAGAGGGGTGTGTGAGGTTGGGCAGTCCCCTCAGATATGACGACATTTGGTCTGCTGAGGACAGGGGCATCCATCTAGGAGGTCAGCCTGAAGGACGGCCCAGTGACTCAGGTTACTGGCATGATGTTTACCACGATTCAACTAATCCACATCCACTTTCCACCATGGTTGTGCCCACCTCCACGTTGTGTGCAGGTGACGCACGGCCATAATACTTCCCAGCCTTCCGCTCAGGGCTGGAGCATCTGAGAACCCAACTGCCAGGGCCTGGCTGGCTTCACCCCAGTGTCAGAACTCAGTCTACACTCAGCCAGCACCCACACGGCAGGTCACAGCAAGCTTTTGGCAAACAGCAGCATTTAGTTCGTGGCCTTTCCTGTTTCCCCCCAAAGCAGCGCTGCGTCTGGCACTCGTCCAGATCACTTAGCTAGGAACAACACACGGCTAAAAGAAAAGAAAAAGAATTAAAAATTGCAACAAGTTTAAATAGGCAGCCATCCGTGGGGCCGTGCGTGTTTCCAGACAGCTTTATCTCTGCAGTTCACGCCCTTTGGTTGTGAGCAATTTCAAGGTTGATGGCGTAGCAACTGCCAGACATTCTTCCTGGCTGGTGGTGATCATTCCCTGGGTTGTAACAGGGCCGCACCGTTGCTTTGGGAGGGAGAGAGCGTATGTTCGTCTCCCTCCTCATTAGGTCAAATCAAGCTTTTCCAGGGCCAGGGCCTGGATCCCGGCTAGAAAGTAAGCACGTCCTCCATGTTGCTGTGCTATTCTGATGCACTAGGCTCTTGTTTCCAAGGAACCCACTAGAATAGAGCATCTCTATTAGAGAGGGAAAGAGAGCTAAAGCCACCAGAATGTCCCCAACCCTCACCCGCCTGGCTAGAATGGGACAGATCTAGGGCATTTCTTCTTGACCGTTTTGTACAGCCACGTTTCCAAGGCCACAGCACTGAGACCAAAAGGTGTCAGTGGCCCCAGGCACGGAGAGAGGTGGGTGGTTCCTGGTTCTGTCTCTGCCCCAGGGTGGGCCACCTTACATGAGCTCCCAGCCTGCTGGTCCCCATTTCCCCATCTGCCACCCGAAGGTGACTGATGGGGAGGACCCACTTCAGGTCCTGGAGCCCTGTAGATACATCAAGTCCTTTCACGATAAACGCCAGGTCCTCAGTGCTGGCAGCAAGGGACCCCCCCCCCCACATGTGTGCCCATCCCCAGGGCTCTTCGTCCACATTGTGAACAACTGTGTATTTCAGATTTCCGACAGAACTGCCCCCCTTGTATTAACCCCAGGCCCGTACGGAGTCCCGCTGCACACCCACCATGGACTCAGCTGGCATCCTTATAACATTGTGACCCACCATTTACTGGGCACTTCCTGTGGGTATTTAAATTTTTATGGAGAGAAATTCCAATGGCAGGAATTGGACACAGAGAGGAAAAGGTCTCAGGTGACATCAGTGTTAGGGACAGTTTCTTAACATTCTTCTTTTTTTTAATGTTCATTTATTTTTGAGAGAGAGAGGCAGAGAGAGGGAGACAGAGAATCCAAAGCAGGCTCCACGCTCACAGCCGAGAACCTGATGCAGGACTCGCACCCATGAACCGTGAGATCATGAACTGAGCCGAAATCGGACACTTAACTGACTGAGCCAGCCAGGCGCCCCTAGGAGGGTTTTCCTCCGGCCCAAGGAGTGGGGACAAAGAGCAGTTTTAACTTTACATCCTACAGCAGACTGGATTTTTTTGTACGAAGACAGGGATCATGTATTATATATGTATGTATATCATAGACGCACATCTCTGCACATACACGCGGAAAGATGTCAGAAGCAGCCCTTTCCCATTTAATGTAAATGGCACAACGGATCCTTTCTTTGACTTCCCCTTGGAACTTTCAGAGGAGTCAGGGGAATCTCAGTGGCCGGTGTTTCACCTGCTGGACAGCTGGACCCCAGGACCTCAGCAAGGGGGGGTCAGCTACACTGGGGCCTGGCCCCCAGCCAGGGACGGCCCCCACCCCAAGCTCCCACCGCAGGCTCTCCGCTGCATCCTGCATGCAGAACTCAGAGTCCCTGGCAACTTGTGGGGGTCCCCATCTGTCCCCTTCTCCCTAAACTGAGGCCTGTTCCCTCTGCCTGCCCTCCAGTCTCCAGTGGGACCTTCTCTGGGGGCCTCGTCTACCCTCAGCACTGTGGGTTCCAAGCCTGTCCTTGTCACCAGCTGTCTGGGGACCTCGGGCAAACCAATCTGAGCCACATCCTGTCGTGAGAAACAACAGCCACGTATCAGATCCTCTGGCTCCTGCAGCAACAGCTAAGAGGCAGAGCTAACCAGGCAAAGGCAGTTCGGGAGCCCTCGAGAGTTCGGCAAGGAGTCATAGATAATCATCTCCCACACTTATCTACACCTCATTTTTCGAAGGACATCTATGATCTCTTCTTAATCCTGCTACGAATTTGTCCCCCGGGTAGGATCGCAAGGATTTATCTCCACTTCCTCTGCCTGTACCCAACCATCACTGGAACCACTTGGAAAAGCCCCTTCCTTTTTCTTTTTCAAGGACAAAATACATGCAGAGATGGGCCTGAGCTAGCCTGAAATCCCAAAGGAGATGAGAAATATTGGTGGAAGGAATGGATTAATAAGAGGGTGATCTAAAGTGCCCAATAGTGGCCTGGCCGTGTTTTATCGTCAAGCTGCTAGGGGCACGGGGGCTCCTGAATTGATCAGGACAGACCCCGGGGACACTTAGAATTCCAGACGGAGTCTAGACTTCATTGTCCACTTGAGAATATGAAACAACCCTCCTCTGGGGCCTACAGCACAAGTCCAATCTATCTGTCTGACATTTACTAAATCCCTTCTGTGCTGGGCATTGGAGACACAAATAAAGGTGGATAAAGGCAGAAGCTTGTAAGGACAGTGCATTTAATGTCAGGCAACTTTGGCGAGCCCATGGGCATTGGTTCATTCATTCGTTCGTTCGTTCGTTCCTCGGGGAGTACTCGTCAGCTCCCCTTTGATTCTGCTGTATTTCTGTCTTTTTCCATAGGACTGATCATCTTCTAAAATACAGATTCATTTCGGGGACGCCTGGGTGGCTCAGTCGGTGAAGCGTCCGACTTCGGCTCAGGTCATGATCTCGAAGTTCGTGAGTTTGAGCCCCGCGTCGGGCTCTGGGCTGACAGCTCGGAGCCTGGAGCCTGCTTCAGATTCTGTGACTCCTTCTCTCTCTCTGCCCCTCCCCCACTTGTGCTCTGTCTCTCAAAAATAAATAAATGTAAAAAAAAAATTTTTAATACAGACTAATTTTTTCACTTATTGTGTCTCCTTTACTTGTCTGTGTTTCTCTGCTGGGGCGTAAGGCCCCAGAAGACAGGGACCTTTGTCTGATTCATTCACTGATGTTTCCCACGCCCCTGGACTACGGCACGTGGAAGGTGTGGGTAAATGTTTCCTAATAAATTAAGGCCCTCTCCAAGGCTGGAGCCACAGACACAGCCTTCAGCTTACCTGGACTGCGGGGGTCTCTTTCCTTCCACTCTGGCTGGGTCTCTCTGGTCCAGGGGCTCCTGAGGCTCCTGAGTTCTGCAGCTCTGCTCGGCCCTTTGGGATGGACAGCCAGGGCGGACTCTTCCTGGACATGATCCAATCCCATGGTGCCGCCTCTGCCCACAGCCTCCTGGGGCCAGCGTCCGCGAAATGCCAGTCTGGGAAGAACAGTCACGTGCCTCCCTGGTGTGTCTTTCTAAACCTCCCCTCAATTCCCAGCCAACCTCCCTGAATGCTTCGGGCCCCTGGAAGAGAGAAGGGCAGGGAGTTGAAGAGAAAGGTACAGGAGGACCAAGGAGGGACATTTGTGGGGAGCCCTCCCGGTCGTGGGCAGTGCAACGTGGGCTAATGGAGGGCAGGCTCCCACTTACATGTCTGCAAGGGGCCCCCCCTCTGTCTCTGAAGGCATGTACAACACAAAGCCACTCTGTCTTCTGTCACCAGTCCCTTGCTGGTGACTTGATCTGTTCCACTGCCCACAGGTCTGCCTTGCTGATCACGCAGTGCGTTCCAAGCTCAGGGAAGGGAGCTGCAGACACACGGGGCATCTGCTGTGCTATTCTGACTCTCCAGGTCTAGGAAGGGCCACAGAAGAAAACCAACAGCTACACCAGGGAAGAAGGCCACAAAAGGAGGCAAGCTATATATAGGTGCTTGGCCAAGAGGGTGGGTCGGGGAGGCATGTGGAAGATGTGTAGTGAGCTGCACTTCGAAGATGAAGAGAACAGAGCCGGTTCTGAGGTGAAGCTTCCGAGAGGGTCAGGGAGAGAGGAGGCCCCCAGCGGCCGGGGGAGCTGGTCGTGAAGAAGGGGGGGCCCTCTCGCTGAGGAGGTTGGATCTTATCCTGGAAAGACTTTCATGTTTAGAGGCACGTCATCAGATTGGGCTTTGGGATATCCAGAGGCCTGGAGCAGGGATGCCTCGGGAGAAGATCTGGTGTCTTGTCACCATCCTGCCCATAAACAGGAGGGAAAAAACGAAAGGCTCTCCACCTGCATTCAGGGCCAGGAGGCGCTGGCCACACCGTTTGTTGTAAAGCTGCAGGAAAAGGGAAGGGAGGTACAAATATGTTCCAGTCTCCTGTTTCGTGATGTCGAGTACAATTCATAAAGAACAGTTCTAATAAATGAAAAAGAAAAATTGTGCTCTCGGGACCAGAAGCAGGTACTGGCCAGGGAGGTGTCAGGTACATCCGATGTCTGAGACACAAGAAACGGTCCCGACCCTCAGCGGCTTCTTGAAATGCGTCTCCCCCCGCCCCCCCCCCATTGCTTTTCACATGTATACTATGTGTTAGGCAAACTTTACATTATGCCACTGAATTAATAAAACCCTGTATTTCGTGGACTGATATTTTTACACCTTTGGATTGGCTTAGATTTTTTTTTCCTCAATGCAGAAGTTGCACCTAAAGTGTTTGCTATCAAACTGTTTTCCTAATAATTCTCTTGGAAACTTGGGAAGTCAGGCTCAAGTCGAATATACAGTGGATGAAATTCCTTTGTTAATATGGCATGTTTAGGGCTGGGGTTGGTTTTGGAGCCTGATGCCAAGAGCTGACCAGTGTCTCCAGCAGATTAGTGGTTCCATTTGGTGGCATAGTATCTTACTCTCTTACTCAGTGCATTCTGTGAAATTCACGTTTGATCACGTGTGCACCTGTTTCAACCATTCATTTCTCCTCCTTTTCTGACCATTTATCATATAATTTGTAAACCAGAGTTTCCACAAAGGACATGGGTGAAAGCTGACTTCTTAGTAATGGGCTTCAGGTCCAGCATTCAGAAAAAAATAAATTCAGCATCAGAAGGGAAACTCAAAAGCAACGGGTCTATAATTTGGTACAAAGAACATGTTGGTACCTAGAGCATTTTGACTCAAACAGAAATCTCTTGTACTAGGTTTTTGAGCGTTCTGGGAATTAGGCTGAGGTGAATTTGCTCCACCATGCTTCTCCTGTGTGCAGATGGAGGCGGAGTGGGGGAGGATCAACCCGCCTCAGAGGGGAGGAGCCTCAGGAATCTTGCCCCCTTACAGCCCTGGATTAAAGATGGAGAGGAGGACTTCATCAACCAAGCACGACACCGTGATGTTGTTTGTAACACTTCAACCTGGACTGGTTGTCCAGGGCCATCCGAAAGCCAACTAGATGGATGGCATTTCCAGAGGTCTCGCAGGTGTGAGTCATAATGATGGGGCCGTCGTGCCGTGATTCACACCATTACCTCAACATCCTTGAACTTGTGTGTGTTCAGATGATGTGAAATAAAGTGTCAGGTGTTACTAGTGTCAGCAGCATGACTTCTGCAGCTACACTGCCCAGTGCAAGTCCCTGCTTTGCCACAAGAGTGTGACCTTGTGTAAGTTATTTGACCTCCATTTGCCTCTGTTTTCTCACCTGAAAAATGGGGACATAGTAACACCTACTTCCTAGGTTGCTTTGAGGATTAATGAGTTTATGGCAACGTCTGTCACATAGGAAACACGGTCCACATTTGCTATTCTTAGAATGAAAGAAAAATGGGAAGACATTTGAGTAGTCCTTTATTTTTTGAAAGTATGTTATTTAAAAAAAAAGCACGTGGATCCTGAGAAGGTGATAAGGAATCAGACGGTGAGAGAATAATGCCAATGGATCAGACATTTAAACTGCCTGTAGGTACACAGATTTTTCTGGATTCCCCGGAAGAACCTAGCACAATGTTAATGAGCTAGCACATCAATTGATGGTGATCAATCACACTTGACCAACCGTTCCAGGAAGTCAAGCTTGGGAAAAATCTGCTTTGGCGAAATGATTGGGTCCTTGGGCTACAAATCAATTACAATGGTGCTAGGCGAAGTGCCTCGCGGGGACAGTGGTTTTCACGCCAGCTCTTGCTTCGTGGGCTTTTGTGTTCATCCTCTAACACCCAGCTGTACAATATTCACGTATGACCCGCAACCGACATCTTATTTTGAGGCTCTGACCATCGGTGGCCCACCTGTTGGGGAACCACTCCCCGCACTACTTGTCGAGCTCACATGTACCCACGTGTAAGTTTCAGAAATGGCATCACTGTCTCCGAGAGCTCTGACAGACCAGGTCCGTTTCCCGTGTTGCTGCCTCTTCTACCCCTCCACTTTTCCCCTTTGCTGATGCTTTCCAATAGACCACAAGCCACCAATGATGGGACTGTGTCTGTACAAGATGGGGCGCTGGACACGACGTGTGATGTGCAACGGATGCCATGCGAATATTTGTTAAATGGATTGTGAGAGCTCTCCAGCCAAAACTCGCCAGGAATGAGCCGAGTTGGGTTTGTGGACTTGTGACGAGGGAGAACGTGCACCATGGGGAACTGGAGGGTTTCTCTGAAAGAGGGGATTAGAAAGAACTTACAGGATTTGAGCGTTTGTTGGGTGATTCTGGGGAAGTTTCACGAAAGTTGGACTTGGTTCTGGATTGGATGCTGCCAGGATGAAGTAATTCTACCACGGGCACCTTAATAAAGCTTATACGGATGGTAAAAGGGATACAGCGCAGCTAACCCTGTAATTAACCTCAGCCACACCTATCAGCCCGGGCTGGACTCTGTGGCCACCTCCATGGTTGGACAGTGCTCACATTGGTGTCTGTGCGCAGATGTGCTTATGCAGTGGTCTTGTCAGTTCCGACACCATTGTGGTCACAAAGCAGCCCTCTTTAATCCTGCCATTCTGGAAGATCCATATCCAGCAGGGGAACACCCACGCTGGTTGGGCAATCAGGTCACATCAGGTGCATGGGGCTGCTTTTCTCGTTCTTGGAATAAAGCGCCTGTCTGAAAGAGGTCTGTGCTCTCTTTCTTGTTCTGTTTCCTCCTCATCTTCAGTCTGGGCCGAGCTCCTCTGCAGACCTCAGGCTCCTGATGCTGCGTTGAGTTTCTGGATTCTTCCCCCAGCAGAAACTGAGCTACCTACTGGACTCCCTTGGAGTGTGTGTGTGTGTGGGGGGGGGGGTGTTCACCTTCCACTCTTCTAACATTTTCCCTCCTCCTTCTGTTTCTACCTTTTGCAGAGTGGATGCCTACCTCGTTGGTATGAAAGGGTAATTTGGAGAGATTTTCCTTCTGAAGAATTCTACCGCCTCTTAAGTGATGTGATGCAGTATTCGCTACTTTAGGTAAAGCTGGGCTCTCCTCGACCATCCGGGGTGTCTTTCCTGATGTGGACACGGCACGGCGAGCACTCGGGAGCACCGCAGAGTTGCGCGGCTTTCGCTACAGTTATTTGTTCTGAATCACTTTGAGAAGTTCACTGAATTAGAGAAGAGTAATTTACGTCTTAAAAAGGAAGGGGAAAACAGCTTGCCCCCGATGGGCGGATGCTGAATCGAGCAACTTGCTCCACAGCCAGGGCCCCCAGCCGTGGCCTGTGCTGTCGGGATGCGATGCCGGTGTGGTTGGCATAAGGACCCTCCCCCGAGGACAAGCCGAGGCTTTGGAAGGTGCAGAAATCAGAACAGAGTGCAGGCTGCTGACAAGAGCGCAGAGGAAACCAGCGCCACGTCTCCCGCTATTTTCTCTACCAGACGCCTAACGAGGGGCATATCTGCTGGGGGGCCAGTGAGTCCACACTAGTGTCACCCTGCTGGTGCCCAGCAAACGTGTGTGTGTCACCTGGGGGGAAGCTGGAGAGGGTTTCACTGTCCTTCCTCCTCGGCAGCCACACATGGCCCCACCCTCCTGGGCTCTGGAAGGGGCCCTTCGTGGCTCCAAACACCCCATCCCTAACTCTCCCCTCATTGCCCCCAACAATGATTTCATCAATGGACAAGGGAGCTAGGAAGACGCCCCTGGTGTGTCATGTCATGAGGACAGCCCTCATCCATGTCACCAAGAAGGGCTGTCCGGGATTAGCAAACGCTTGGCATGCCAGGCAGGAAAGATGGCTCGGGGAAGGCGGGGGTCTGCTCACTTTGGAAGCAAACTTGAGTTTGCCAATTGGAGACAACCTCCATCCTGGAAGTTGGGGCAGGTGAAGGTGCATCCTGTCCCCTGGACAGTTTTCAGTGGAATCTGGCTTCTTTGTGAGGGACAGAACATGTGGGGGCATGCTGACTCCTCCCTCCTCTGGTTATTCTCTGTCCAGAGTGGGTGAGGCTGGAGAGGCGGGGGAGGCCAAGTACAGCTGGTGGGAACAGGGGCCCTGCGTGTGTCCGAGGACCCTCCTCCCCTCAGCCCAGGTGCTCAGCAATCCACTAGGGACTCTGCATATACTGCCTTCCCAAGGGACTCGAGGCCATGGCCCCAAGGGGGGGATCTGTGGAGTGGGGCCCTGGCCAGGACAGGGAAGGCCACAAAACTGATCGCCTCTACATAAAGAGCTGGACCACCAGCTCCGGCTTTGCCAGGATCGTCCAGAAGGAAAGACAACCAGGAGCGACGATCCTAGGCCTGTTTGGAATCGAAATGCGTCAGCCACATTAGTTTGAGGTTGTCTTTTTTTCAATTTTCTGAATTTAACAAGCAAGAACCAACTATTTCCAAAAAATCTGAATGACCTCACGATTTGCAAGAGAACAGGGTACATGAACACCGACACCTGAGACGCAGGGAATGCTTCTCTTTCCAGACTCATTAAGATGTCAGATGAGCGTCTGCACATTAGCGCCCTGCACACACATTGCAACGAAGAGATAACATTAATTCATGGAGGTTTGTTCCCACTCTTGAAATTCAGAGCAGCCTGTGTTTCTCTGCGGGCCTTCCAGAAGGCCTTCACTTATTTAGGCTGGGAAACACCTTTGATGTGGCTGGTGCCTGACCCAGAGGGGAGGGAAGGGATTTGGCTCTAGAATCGTACAAGATGAACTCGGGGTGTTGTGGAGATAAGGCGCACTTGAGTCACACGTCCCGTATGCTGTTCTCTCCAAGGCTCCTAACATGCGCTACTCCTTTCAAATGTGAAAGACGGAATTTCCCAGTCGCTGAAGCTGGCTGGAAGCTTCTGTTTAGGATTAAACTGCTGCTGAACTTCACAGAAAACAAAACACACAAAGCCATGTTCTGTAAGTAGGTGGGACTTGCCTCTCGGCTTCCGCTTGCCCCTCAAGGGCTAGATGCTTTCGTGAGAATTTCTGTTCATCAAATTGGCTTCGGCAAAATATCCTGGTTTCAGTAATCACAGAGCAGTCAGTTACATCTAGGCAAACTAACGCACACCGCGTTCATATGTTGTATCCATTTTTGTTATTGATTGCTCCATCGATAGGATGCTTAGGAAAAGTAACATGACGAGACCAGATTGGTGTTACCATAATGATCCTCAAGCATGATGGGATGGTTTTTGCTCGTTTGTTTCTTTGTATTTTAATTTTATTTTTCAAGTTTCTTTATTTTGAGCGGGGGGAGAGAGAGTGAGAGCAGGGGAGAGACAGAGAGAGTTAGAAAATCCCAAGGAAGCTCCGCATTGTCAGTGCAGAGCCCAGCGCGAGGCTCAAACTCACCAACCGCAAGATCATGTCCTGAGCTGAATTCAAGGGTCAGACGCTTAACTGACTGAGCCACCCAGGCGCCCCATGATGGGATGTGTTAAGTGGAGTAGACATTTCAGTCACCTAGGATGTAGACTCTGATGTTCTTTTCTGTTTTGTTTTTTAATTCGGAGACAGGTGTTTGCATTCCCAAGGGAGCCCACGGCCCCTTTCCTGCCTACATCAGTGTGGCTGACCTCGTGTGCTTTTCAGGAAAGAGTTTACCCTCCTTTATTTGGTTCACAACCATCTTCATTAATTAAACACATCAGGCTCTGGGGAGAAATCCACATCTCACAAAAAACAGTCCACAAGGTCAAGACAAAAGGACTCTAGATTTGTGCCCTAACCATCCACTCAAGCGAAACAAAGCATCCTCATTAAATAAATCCTTTGAGATCATTTTCAGTAAAAGCATTTAACACTAAAAATGTATGATGTTAAGCAAAACCAAACCAAAAACAGACATTCTGTTTGTAAACTAAAGTCTATTCGTAAGTCTTTTCAAAAATTCTTGCCCTCACATATTTTAAATGTAAGTAATGTACCACTGTTTCCTACTGATTGGAGATCTTCCTATTTCGAAATAAATGTGGTGTAAAAGCCGCTTCGAGAACATGCAAAACAAACCTTGAACTGTCTCTCTCCTCCCAAATTATCTGTATTTTTGGCCCGTTTCTTAAAGAAAACCCATTTCTTCTTGTTTGTTCAGGGCTCCAATCCCAAACCCCAGCCTGAGGGGGAGGAAATGTGCACTTTCTCTTGGGGATGGAACCCACCTTGCTGCTTCCCTCGGCGATCCTGCGTCCCAGCTTCCAGAACTCAGAACAGAAAGTCTCCTTGGCTCTGCTCGGTGCTGGGACCCTTCGAGCCACCCTCAAGACCACGCTTCGGGAAGAATGCAGTGACTCGACTAGCTGTTGCCATTACCTCATGCAGGGAAAGTTCCAGGACATCCTCTGTCCCGTCGAGTCTGGCCATCTCTACCTAAACATTGAATCCAATTTGGTGAAGGAAGCAGAAACTTGGATCCAGCCACTACCTTGAATTGTGTCAATGAGGGACCTCGAGAAGAATCTGGGGCGATGTGAGGGTACACCCTGGGCCACACTCCCTGTTCCACTTGGGAAAGTTAGGGTCATTTATTGGTTGGAGGAGGAGGCGGCTGGATGAGAAGCGTCTATCCAAGACATGGCAATAATCCAAGACCTGGAGGCAGATGTGGCCAGCAAGGGGTCCCCCACTTTGAGGCCCGTGTGCCTTGCTTGCTGGGCAATGGAGTCTTTCCTTCCCATTTATTTCATTTCTGGAACAAAACTCACATTCTTATAAAATTCAGGCGATGTGTCTATTACATCATGAACAATCAAGGGGCACCCAGGCAAACACAGGAACAGCATTGCATACAACACAGTGGACACACACTCACAAACACACCACACACTCGTGCACACTCACATGTCACACCATCACACCCGCATGCGTTTTCCCCCACCCATGCACAAACACTCATGCTCACACACTCGGACACACACACGCTCAGACACACAACCGACAACACACGCTCACACAGCTCACGCCTCCCCACGTGCACACATACACCCCAGTCACGATCATCGTACGGTCCTGACCCTGTACAAAGTGCCTGGAACCCCCATCGTGTGTGACTGGAGCTACCGCCATAACCATCCTTCAGGACCAGAGCTTGAGACCCGGGTCGAGGAGGCGTCTCACTGGCAGTGAAGCAGCAGCTGAGGGGGACCCGGGACCAGCGGGCTGGCAGCCCTGTCCCGCTCTACCCAACCGGGCCTGCCCTCAAATCCCGCGCAAGGGAAGCGTGATTGTACCGTGTGCACCAACAACCAGCGTAGAGTCTCAGGAGCAGAGCCCAAAATGTGCCGTGCACCAAACAAAGAGGCTTCGTGCAAATCCTCGAATGTTCAGTCAGTAGAGGACCCATTTTGCACTTCACTTTTTATTTCAGTTTATGTATGTATTTATTTTTGAGAGAGAGAATCCCAAACAGGTTCTGCACTGTCAGCACGGAGCCCGATGCGGGGCTTGAACTCACGAACCGTGACATCATGACCTGAGCCGAGATCAAGAGTCGGAAGCTTAACCCGCTGAGCCACCCAGGTGCCCCTCACTTCACTTCTGCCTCAGAAACCAAGACCTCTGTGCCCGGGAAATTAGGTTCAAAGGGCAAAGTCAACGGGTTCAAGAGTCTGAGTGATGTCAGAGACCACATGGAGGCAGCAGCAGCTCCGGAAGGGAATCCAGATGGTCAGCCACGAGCGCCCGCAGGACCCACAGGCGGCCCCCTGCCACCCTCAAGCCCCCTGGAATCCCCTTTTCCTGCATCAACTAGTTGGCATGGCCCTGGTGTCCTTCCGGACAAGCAGGTGCCTGCAGGAGGCAGTGCTGACTGGCAGTCCGCCCTGCCCCCACCTCCCCACCCCCACGCACCCCACCGCTATACCCTCCAAGTTCCCCACCCCAACCCCCCAGCCCCCCACATCCCCACCTCCAACCCCTCCACATCCACCCCCAACCCTCCTGCCCACCTGTATTGGTGGCCTCACCAGATACCATGAGCCTGCATTACAACGGCAAGGCAGAAACCGTCCGTCCTGCCTCAGATTACAGATGAGGAGATTAGGGAGTCTCTGCCCATAATCACCTGGAAAGCACTCGTGTTCCTCTGGCTCTCGTGACACTGATATCCCAGAGTGTCAGTAACCACAGGCAGAGCGCCACTGTCCTTGCACCTGCTGGGGCCCGACCCTTAGAATCCCGAGCCTCCTGGTCCATGCCTTGTGCCATGATTATCTTTCACCTGCCTATCCCAGGGGAAGCAAGCCCTTTCTCCCTGAGGGGGTCCCCTCTGAATCACTGGCTGGGTCCCCCGCGAGCCGCCCAGATGCACCCCCACGGAGAAGCTGGAAGCCTCTGTGATGGGGACTTGCTGGCATTCCTTCCCTGTCGGGTCTCCTCACACGCAAACGTCCGAACTTCTGAAGCAAAGTGCTCCGTGGACGATGTCAGGAGCAGAGCTTCCCGTGGGGTCCAAGGAGGGGCGAGGGAAAGAGCCTGTCTAGAAAGTGCCGGGTGCCTGGGACAGAGGGATCGGTGCCCAGAGAGGGTGAGTGAGGGCCCCACGGTCACACGGAGGTGGGACTCCAGCTCTGCTCCCCTGACTCAGGTCCCTTCAGTGACACCAAGTCACAGAGGAGCAGAGAGGAAGCCAGTGCGTGCAGAAGCCCAGGGCCCGGTTTCCCGGCAGCCACCCCATTTATGGTTATGACGAGCAGCTGCTCAGAATCACACGGCCTCGTGGGGCACCGGGCCCCTCTTCGGCGGGGGGGGGGGGGGCGGCATTCTGGGCAGGGCAGAGTTCTGCAATCGAAAGCCAGCAGGACGCACGCACTGTAGGTTTAACGGCAGAATCAGAGCAAAAGTGCGCAATCATCTCAAGAGTCTCTCTCTGTTCTAAATGTGAAAATGAGACTTCAGACACAGGCGCATCATAGAATTGGGAGAATGTCCCAGCCCATTTCTGGGCAAGAGGGATGGCCCCGGTGAGACCTGCAGGTTGCCCTTGTTAACACTTGTAAAAGGTAGGTTCAGCTCAACAAAGAGGAGGCTAGGTCTTGCCCGGGTGGGGGGGGGGGGCACGTTTGTGACGTATTCCTAGGGGTGGAAGGAAATGTGAGTCGCTTTTAATACGATTGGACGGTTTACGTGGAAAGGCCAGCTTCCACTCCAACCTCATTGCTCTGGAATGAAGAAGCAAACCCGAGGGTCCCAGCCAGCACGGCCAGGCTCTGGGTGGTCTCCCCGCCATGATGGTCCGCTCATTGCTCAAGGTTGAGAGACTTGGAAGTTGGATCCAAAACAGGTGTGTGTGTGAGAGAGACAGAGGGACAGAGAGACAGAGGGACAGGGAGACAGAGACAGGTGGGGGTGGGGGGAGTTGCCTGTTGACTCCTCCACCTTCCATTAGACTCAATTACTTATTTTCTTGGACAGATTCTCCTGAACACTTTCCCCGGGACCCGACTCTGCACCCTCCGTGTTCAAGCTCACTCAGCACCCACAGCACAGCAGGCATCAAGCTGAGTTCTGGAGACACAATGGAAAGAATACTGAACCTTTGTTCTCAGAGGGTCCAAAGCCTGCAAACTGAAAAAAGCTCTGATATCTAGAATTTCCTGAATTTGATTCTTGACAAATCAGAGGCCATTTTGATGTGAAGTTTAAGAGGAAAAAATCAGACGCTCTTGTAATAGCTTTTAATTCAAGATTCGATAGGATAATGCTGTTGGTCTTATTTTTTTCCGAAACTTTCGGCTTTGGCGGTCATAATCATTACTCCTCTGCTCTGCGTTGCTTGTGAAGACATTGTTTCTGGGGGCAAATTACTATCCTGTCTGCCCTGAGTCACTCTGGGCTCCAGGGTCTACGGCCTGTCTCCGGTTGTGGGCTACCTGGCCCTGGGGTGATTAAGCAGAGGAATATTGCCTCCTGAGTATAAACCTCACAGACAGAAGATAATTAGGACTGTGGGCTCTGGATGGTGTAGTTTGCATATGAAAAGCACGCTCACAGGGGAGTTATTTGCTATTTCTAAGAATTAGCCAGCCTTGGGAGGGGCGGTCTCTCCCTGGTAAGGCCCCCCTTGCATCATAAAATAAAATAAAAACAGTAGCATAGCTATGAACCTGTGGGAAGCTACAAGAGGAACCCGCAGGAAGACGTTATGGAATTATTCCAATAGGATTTGATATTAAGCTGAGGCTCAAACACCGAGTCGGCCTCAAAGGCAAACAGTGGGAGGAAGAGAATTCTAGATTTAGGGAACAGCTTATCGGATTTCTGGA